CTGAGCTTTTTGCTTGAGTCTCGAACTGAGTCGAAGGGAAATCCTCCGGATTTCCATAGTTAAAATTTTCTAGGAGGGAGCGAGCGGGCTTGTAGAGCGAGGGAACGCCAAAAAGCTTCCCAGTTTTACTTGAATATAAAAGCACGCTTCAAAGGTTTCTTCTTAAGACCTTCCTTTTACTGCTTTCTGTGTGTATATTTAACTGTCATCATGTAGATAGTTAAGTTATAATTGTTTAGAATAAATAGGGGTAATTTAGTAATTTCGCACTATTATTTTTAGAAATAATCTGTCATAGGGAACCCGAAAGGGGCGCTGTGGGGTGCTAACACCTTCCCCACGCGTAACCGACTCCCTTACCCGACTCTGGTTGTCATGGCCGAAGTCGATTTTTGAATCGATTGCCTTAAACTTCTTTTTCCAATGTTTTGAGTAAAACATTGGTGGCGACTCCATGAACCCTTCCTTTTTATGAAAACCGCTAATCCATGGAGGGTCCCGCTTGGGATTAACATGGATTGGTGAGCCTTTTAATAAAATTGCTCGTTTGACAAGGTCTCAGTTTGAGAATAAGTCATTCTAGCAATCCATATTTTTAAACAAATAAAAGAGTCCAACCATCCTTCGCGAATGCCGAAAGCCCGTTTCGGGCCGGTGGCGACATAGATCAAGTTTTAGAAATCTAGTTTGTAGGATTTAATGTGATTTGCAAATTTTATGGGTAACTATATAATGATAATTCCTTTAGTTCAACTTTGTGTGTAGTTTTTGTTGAATCTGCATTTTGATACCTACTTTGTGTAGGTTGCAATCTAACTTTTTGTTACAAGATGCTTAAATTGAATGTCATATATCATATATTTATTTATGCCTTTTGGTGATTGAACAAAATATCTGATCTAACTGTTTGAATGATAATTTGACAAAAATGTTGTTAATCTAAGAAGTGATAACTATATATTAATCGATGAATCTCTTATATGTATTAATGCATGTGTTGAGGGGTAGTTTATTTGATAAACAATTCTTAGATTAAGGGGGAGTGAATATGTACATTGTATGATATAACTTTTAAGAAAACTTACTGAAGGCTTGAAAGAAAAACCTACTCAAAAGGTAGCTTATTAGAAGAAAAAACTATTTGTACCAGAAAAGACAAATGCAATGATGTTAACCCTACTTAAACTTTGGCTAGCCTCAATGAATCTATTTTCAAATGCTATAAAGGATAAACAATGGACTCATTTTGAAGTAAGCAAGATCAAAGAAAAAAATCAAAACCCAAGCTATGAAGTTGTAATCCTTTATTCATACTTTAATTCATTTAAAGATCTTCACTTCAGCATTTTGTATCAATCTTGTAATAGAAAAATAAGTGTGAATCTTCATTAGTGGAAACTCCATTAGAAGAGAACTTGTTGTAATCTTAGCAATGTTCAAGGTTAGAAAACCCAGTGTTGCAAAAACCTTTCTTGCCTAGATTTGAGTGTGTAGGTGTAGGAAGGAAGAAAGGAATCATAATAGGTGTTGTGTAATCTCATAGCAAGTGGTTGTGGGGTTATTTTTTTGAGCAGGTGGTTGAGTTGGAAAATCTCAAAAAATGGTTGAGTGTTGGCTACTAATAGTAGTTGGTTGTCTAGTAGTGTTTGTGTATCAGTAGGGGGTTGAGTTGTTCTTGATCAGTAGTTGGCTGTGATAGTGAAAATTCCTCAACTTTGTATAAGGATTGGATGCAGCCTACTTGGTGTGAACTAGTATAAAATTTTTGTGCAAGCTCAAAAACTACTTTTTGAATAATACTCTAATTTTCAATACTTAGAAGGCTTACCTTTTGAAGAATAGAATTTCATAATGATTTTAAAGAACAAAACAATTGAATCTTTTTCTTGTAGTATAACATTCACTTCAAAAAAGACTATAGGAAAGAAATATACTCTTCAAAAAGTTACCCTAAGACTAAACCATCTAAGGAGAAAGATGAAAAAAAAAATCCTCAAAAGAGAAGGAAACCCCCAACAATATTTCTAGGACTAGTAGTATTCAGTGCTTCTAGTATCTAAGGAAAAGTCACATTGTTTTTCAATACCCCACCAAAAAGACCATGATCTTAAGGGGAACCAATATAGTAGTCAAGAGGAGATTACATCTTCTTCCTCTACCTCTAGTGAGAGTGAAGAAGAAAGAGGAATATAGTCTAGTAGAGACAGAGCTTACCATGTGATGGTGAAAAGACTTCTTGGAAGCCAAATTTATGAAATAAACCAATCCCAAAGAGAAAACCTTTTTCACACAAGATGTAAGTTTTCTTTTTTATATATAAAACTTGTTGTCTCATCATTGTGGACAGTGGATCTTGTAATAATTGTTATAGTACAAGGTTGGTTATAAGTTAGTCCTTATTATCATTCCCCATCCAAAGCCTTATAAGTTTCAATGGTTGAATGAAAAGGGGAAGTGGTAGTAGACCAACAAGTTAAGATCACGTTTTCCATAAGGAACTATAAAAATGATGTTTTATGAGATGTGGTTCCCATGGAAGCTTTTCATATTTTGTTGGGAAGTGATGGAAAACCCTTTAGAGAGACTAGATTGATGTAGCTCTCCTCCAAGTCTTCTTGAATGGATCTTTCCCCTTTATTCTCCTCCTAGCTTTTTCAATGGCCTCTAATGGTGTTAGGAGTCATCATCCAACACATATGAAGAGGTAGAATTCCCCTTGGTTGACGCCACACTCTAGGAGTGATGTCACTCCAAATCTCACCACACTCAAGAGAAGATAAGAGAAATGGAACAAGTTTCAAGGGAGAAACAAGCTTTGAGAGAGAGAATTAGAGAAAACCCAATCTAATTCACATAAACTCCAAAGTGTCTTTCGACCATTGCATGTATTTTTACATATAGAAGTTTGGTTGGCTTATGGTGCAAGCTAGACTAACCATGGTCAAGTGGAACCATGGTTAGTTATCTTGTATTTAAGCTAACCAACTTTAGTTACCTTCTTAGAAGCTCATGGAGCAAGCTAAGTTAATTCTAGTTTAAAAATAACCTAGGTTAGCTTAAGTTAACTCTATCTACCTAACCTAATGATTACTTTTAATTAGTTTGTTGAGATGTCATTTTCAAGGCCATACATGGACTTATTTTAACAATCTTGGATGGCTTCCTCACCAAGCTTGGATGTCCAAACCACTTGCTTAGGAAAATGGATGTCCAACCTTGGTGGATTTGAAATTTGTTTGGGCCATCCAAGCCCAAATAAGTCTATGGTTTAGTCTAGTTACACCTCCCTAAACTACTAATTACACCTTTAAAGAAAAAATACAAGGAAAAAAATCCTATATTACTTAACCCAAAATACATGGTCAAAAAAATATCCTATACAATATGTACAAAGAGACTAAACAACTAAAAGAATGCATACTCTAGGCTTATCTTCTTCTCTAATAGTTTTCTCTAGTCTCCTTACCATAGACCTTATAAAAAATCCTATGGTCTTCATGGATGATCCTCTATCAGGAAAGTCATGTCAATTTGACAAGAAAGCTATCCATAATGGCCTTATCAATGAAATAACCCTCACTCACATGGATGAAAAGTTTGTGTTGTATCCTTTGACACCTTCACAAGTAGTAGATGATCAACTACAAATGAAGCATAAGAGAGATAAGGAAAAGAAAAAGAGAAAAAAAAGAAGAAAAATACACCCTTAAAGGATTAAAAAGGAGGTAAAAAATAGTTATGAATGATAATGTCCATTCCAAAAAGGTAGTCAAGAAAGATAGTCATTTTGCTACAAAAGGTGATATTAAAAGAGCTCTTTACCTTAAACAACCTCATTATGTTCTTATGTACAAAGGGACACTAGTTTGTACTACCATAAAAAGATTGAAATTCCACTTCAAGGGGTACAAAAACTTCGGGAAGAATTTGATGATACATTTTATAAAGAGGGTCCTAAGGGATTATCACCTCTCAGGGGAATAGAACATCAAATAAATTTAAATCTTAGAACATGTCAATCTAATAAGCCAAATTATAGGACTAATGTAACACCATTTTTTTTAATTACTTATGTGTATAATTTTTTTTTGTAAATTAGTATATGTTTTATTGTAATAACTACGTAATAAATATTATGTAAAAAATTAGATTTAAAAAAATATAAGTAATCTGTAACTTAAAAGACAATTTATTGAGTATAGATTAAAAATACATACAATTAAGAAAATAAGTATCTAAATTAAAATTTTGTAAGGATTTAACTTAAAAAATTTATAATGCTAAAATGTTAAGCTAAAAAATTATGAAAAAAATATTCAATAGAATCTAAAGAATTTTATTATAATTATGTTACACTTAGAATAATTAATAAATATGTCTAATTAGATTAAATTAAAATACAAGTTCCAACCAATCAAATTATGACACATAAGAAAATTATAATTAATTAAATCAAAATTAATTAAATTATTAGTTTTACAAAACTATAATTGATTTGTATGATAGCTACAAAAATTACTTCCTACTCACACCCTTTTAAATTACATGTAGATATGAAGTTTCATTTTTATACTAGTTATATATAATTGGATTTGACTGCTTTAAAGTTGAAAATTCTTTCATTAAAAATATAATGTAATAATAACTGTTGATTAAAAAATAATAAATATTTTAATTAATTTTAAATTTTATCATAAATGTATTTAATATTATCCTAATTCTCAATCATTGAAAATTTAATCATCTGTTACTATTACGATATTTTTCTTCTAAAATACACTCCTAGTTCTAGAGGAGTTAAATCCTATGTAATTAAGGTTCAGAATCGACCAATTTTATTCATTAAAAAGAATGCACAAATAATACTATTTGCTTTGTATTTTTTCGGTTGAAAATTACAGCGTCGAAGCATCACAAAAGTTTCAAACCTTTGGATCTGAAATCAACGGCTGTTATACACCTAAATGACGTGTCCTTCGTAAGGAAAAAAAAAATACAAATACTGGGAAGAAGGAACGCGAAGGAGGGAAGTGCAAGTGCTGGAGGCTTAGCGTTTTCTTAATGGACCGAACACTCTGCCTCTGTCTGCTTCTCTTCACGGCGGCTGTTGCGGCGGCGACTGGCGGCGCTGAACACAACCACACTTCCGGCGGGCTATTATGGCCCACCGCCGCAGAGGAATCCGATCCGCCACCGCCCACGGATGACTCCGACTCCGACTCCGACGGCGGGTTTTCTTCACTCGACGGCATGTTGCAGTGGGCTATAAGTATGCTGCTGTTTTTCTTCTTTTATTTATTTATTTATTTATGTTTGAGTTCTTAAAATATAAAATATAAGGTTGTTTATGTTATTTTTAAATAATGTGTTGTCATTAGCTCATGAACAATGAACATGTATTTCATGCATCAAATTAGCACCGCCCACGGATGACTCCGACTCCGACTCCGACGGCGGGTTTTCTTCACTCGACGGCATGTTGCAGTGGGCTATAAGTATGCTGCTGTTTTTCTTCTTTTATTTATTTATTTATTTATGTTTGAGTTCTTAAAATATAAAATATAAGGTTGTTTATGTTATTTTTAAATAATGTGTTGTCATTAGCTCATGAACAATGAACATGTATTTCATGCATCAAATTAGCCTTCGAAATTCGCGACATAAGAATTGATTTGATGGATGAAATACATAATTTTTCATGCTTTATGAATAATAATATCATGGAGTCTTTATAAGAGACTAAAATAATCAAAATTGCAATTATAAGACTCCTTTGGTTAAATTGAATATGAGATTAAATTTCTGTATAATTTTTTTTATTTTATATATATTTTTTTACTTCAATTGCTATAAATAATCAATTTTTTTTTTTTTTTTAAATTATCTTTGCATAGGTCATTCTGATCCTGGAAAGTTAAAGGAATCAGCAGAAGCTCAGCAACGGCTTTCGGCAAGCGATCTGCAGAAACGTCAAATAGAAATCAAGGTGCATGTCACTTGCACATAAACTAATTCTACTAATTTTTCTCGTGTGTGTGGTGCTATGTATGTTGATTATTCACTTATATGGTGGCGATTAAATAGGAAACACTGGAGAAAATAAAGATGCCTTCTGATGGTGAATTGATGAAAATTGCGGTACGTGACTTGAATAATGTCTCTACATCCTTGGAAGATAGGCACCGTGCTTTGCAGGAGCTTCTTGAGCTTGTGGAGCCGATAGATAATGCAAATGGTGGGTGTGTATGAATGTTTTCATATACCATGATGTTTACTCATGAATTCAAATGGCAAATGCGGTTGATTTGGCTGCAATTGCTCGTGTGATGCAGTTGGGGAACCTCTAAACCATGGTATAACGGCTGTGAAATTGCGGTTGAATACTGGAATTAAAACCTTGCTTTGTTGATCCCCAATATAGTGTTTGCTAGGATTCTAGGCCCAAAAGAAAGAAAATTAAATGACATAAGGACTTCATTGGATGGTGTTAGATATTAGGATAATAATGTATTTAGTTTAAATGTTATTTCATTCTTCCCAAAATAGAATGATGACTATTGTAGGATCATCCTCAGTAGTTATTAAGTTATAAATATGTATTCTCTTAGCCTTGGAATGCAAGTATGAAAATTAACTATTTTGTTAGTATAGAAATGCTATAGGAGTTTCCTTTCTTATATTTTTAAAGAACTTGATGCGTGCACTAGAAAAGTCATTCTTAGCAATCTCCAGGAAAAAAAAATGCTAATATCAGACTCTCTAACACTCTTTGTTTTGCCACACTCTCTATGGAAAGTTCGGGTGGGTCCCTCTAAATACATAGGTCTCGTTGCTGATTTGGTGACTCTTATTCTCAAACTAGCGGGATTCATGAATTTCAACTAATAGGAGAGACTGTTGGGAAGAGTGTGCTAGAGAGTGTATTTCTTGTACTCCTCATCTCCAAATAGATGCTTTGAAATTTAGAAGCCTCAAAGTCTGCTTATGTTATGTGCTTTAAATCGTTCAATACTGGCTTCCCCTGGAATCTTGTCAGTATTACTTCCTGCGTGATTTATGTTAGCTGAACGTTGGAAACAAATTGAAAAGAAGATAAGGTAATAAGAGCCTGTTTGAATGTTTGAATATAAGTATAGAAATGTTTGAGAGTTTTTTTATTGAAAAATATTCTTTATTTTCAGTAAAGAAACTTCTAAAAACACTTCTAACTTGCATCCAAATAGGCTCTAAATACTTTTAGATTAACATAGATAAACAGAGTGGATGATCTAACGTTACTTGTGTTTTGCTCTCTATTGAATCATACGTCAAGAACAGACAGTGGTATGTGTTCTTTTTCTTTTTTTATGTGTCACTTGCTCATCCACTTATTATAATACAATGGTAAAGATTTTCATATATGATACAAAAGAGCATTAGTTAAGACTTTTATTTTGCTTTTGTTTCCACGTGTTAGAATTCTTCTTTCCTGTGTAATGGTGTATTTCTGATAGATATTCTCGTGTTTACCAGATTTAAACAAACTTGGGGGACTTCTTGCAGTTACAAAAGAGCTTAACCACTCTGATCCAGGTATAAGGACAGTTGCTGCATGGGTTATTGGGAAAGCTAGTCAAAATAATCCAAATGTTCAGCAGCAGGTTTGTTGTTTGTTTAATGATTAATGGAATTTTACGAACCTTTAAGCATTGATGGAACCTAAACAATATAGTAATGCTGCCAAAATTCAACATCCCAGATCTTGGAATTTGGAGTGCTCTCAAGGCTGATGAAAATGGTAAAGTCTAATTCCATAGAAGAAGCCAATAAAGCATTATATGCTGTTTCAGCTTTGATTCGCAATAATTTAGATAGTCAGGAGTTGTTTTATGCTGAAGCTGGAGGTTGGATGCTTCAGGTGACCTATCTAAGGTTTAATACTTTTTTAATTTTATTTTGAAATTACTTGGTAGAATTGGCAAATGACACTGATAAATTTTTAGGATATTTTGAGCAATGCCAGTCTTGATATCAGACTGCGGAGGAAAGCTGTACTTTTATTGGCTGATCTAGCAGAGTATCAATTAGAAAATGTAGATAGAGATGAGCCACCATTTTTCAATGACCAAGATCTGTTGAAGTCAGTGGTTGATTTAACTGCATCAACCGACCTTGATCTCCAAGAAAAGGTGATTGTTGACACAGCACCTATAATTATAGTTAAAACATTGTCAAAAGACCTCTTTTCTTGTGACTAACGAATACAAATTTCTTAAAAACCAACATTTTGAATCGCACCCCTTTCATATTATTGTTCTTAGTATGTCTACATATGAAATTGTTCAATACCATTCCTGTGTTTCAATGTATTCTGTCTCAATGTGCTCACAAATTTTGAATTTCTGGGAGACAGTAGACATACCTAAGGAGATAAATAGGAAAAAAAAATAGTATTATATTTGAAACAAAGGAGTATATTCAGTAGAATGAGAGTGAGGGATTGTTTTAAACTATTCATTTACAGGTGATCTTTATTTCAATTTAGTGTGCATGCATGCAGATTATATTTGGGCATACATTCTTCTATAAGTCTTGTCTTCACAAATTGGTCCTTTTAGCAGTTCATGTTGAGCCTTTGGTTTGATTTATGGCATTTCTTCTGAGATGTATTAAACAGGCCCTTGTTGCGATTAAGAGTCTCTTGCAATTAAGAACCACTAAAGCTTGGGTTTTCAAGGACTTTTGTGCTTTAGGTGATGCACTGAACAGAATGAGGCAGTTGTTGCATGATTTGATGGTGGATGAGTATCAGAGAGACTACGTGATGGATGTGGAAAGTCTTCGTGTTGAAGTGGAACATATTTTCCATAGAAAGCTGGTAAAGCAAAAATGAGTTGCAACTCCCTAAAGTTATGCTGTTGATCTTGTATCATTATCTAGTTTCTAGAGATTTCTCACAATTTTGATTCTTCTTTAGACGTTTGATCAATGCATGTTAAAGCTATTAATATTAATTTTTACAGTTGTACAGGTTAATCCCCGAAAATTTACTAGCATTTGTGATTTCTGATTTAACTGTATTCTACCTATAGACTTTTTATTTATCTATACTATTAATGTATGTCTATATATTTACAATACGTCTCATTGGTGTACATATTCTCTGGTCTGTATTGTTTATTAACTTTCAAAATATCCTACCTCTCATATTTTCTTTATTTAATTTTATTCATTTTTTTTCTACTTAAATTTATTTTTAAACATCTCACACCCTTTAAATAACTATTAAAAATTTATGACACATTCTAATTGTTAATTACTCACATATTTAGAATAATTTTTTATTTATTATTTGTTATTTTTTACATAGAATACACTAAGACACAATGTTTTTTTTTTACTTCAATAAATATATATATATATATATGTATATATATATATATAGATACATATATATAGAGAGAGAAAGTTATAATAATATTGGTATAACTTTTACTAAGTTTAACATCGTTTAATAATTTTATATTAAATGTAAATTTTGTAAATTTAATTGTTAGATTGGAAGTTCATATCACTTTATATGTTTATATTAAATTTTGTTAAAATTAAACAGTAATTTAAAGGTAATTAAAATATTTATATTTAGTATATTTTGAAATGTATATATTACGTCAATTTTATATTTTATTTTATAAGAATAAAATATCAAATTATCTTAGATTATTATAAAATCTTGGACATGATCTATGAGTAAAGAACTTTCAATCTAACGGTTAGATTTAGAAAATTTACATTTAATATAAAATTATTAAGTGATGCAATCCTTAGTAAAAGTTATATCAATATTATTATAACCCTCATCGTATATATATTTCAATTATCATAATATTTGGAATATATATATATATATATATAAATAATGTTAAACATTTTTTTATGAAGTAATAAAGTAGCGAAAACTTGAAAAGAAATAAAAAATAGTTATAATCAAATGTATTTAGGTACTTCATATACAGATTATTTATTAAATAGATTCTTGGCATTCATTTTGTATCTTATTAATGGATGTACGAATTATTTTCCTAAAAGGTCGCGTTTTTTAACCTTAGAGATTGCGTTTTATTTTGTATTTCAAAAGCTTAGGTCCGATTGTTTATAAACTTATTTTTCTATAAATGTACTTATTTTTGTTTTTTTGTATTTAAAAAAAAATACTTTTATGTTTTGACATGATTCTCTAAACTTATTTTTTAAAAGTAATTTTTTACTTTTCCTTTAAAAAAATGTCTTCCTACTTTTTAAAAATTACTTATTTTAGAAGCATTTGTTTGAAAAAGCTTTTTTTTTTTTTTTCTTTTTTAATAAGTTCAAGCAAACTGATTTTACATCTTACATTGCTTGACATATTTCTCTTGTTCATATCATTTGAGAATGGTGAGCGCAGTTGCTCGTCATCTTTCTAATTTTGGGGCATCAAATCCGGCCTTTATGTATTTACTATTTAGGTGTTTCATCTCCTCCGCTAGACTCCTTCCTTCCTCTTTTTTTTTTTCTTCCTATTTTATGGGATGAATAAAAAGAAAAGTGAAACTAAATCCTTGTTCTACGTCGAAAGTTAAACTAATTTGGTTGCAGCTTGCTAAACTAGGAGTATATAACGATAGACTTTCGTTTCACATCAAATAGATTGCAAGTGTTTATGGCACTATGATTTTATATAATGAGTTATTTACAATTGAATACGTTATGTTGTGATTCGAGCTTTATATTAAGACTCGAGTTGCCTCATTCATGTATAAGCTTTTAAAATTTTTATGTATTATATTTATTAAAATTTTATGAAAAGATATAATAAAAATATTTTAATCTTTTAGAAAAATTTACGGAGACAGTTGTAGTTATATTTTTGACAATATCATTAAATTTGTATAATTGTTTTTTTTTTTTTTGTAAAATTCATAAAAAAATTCATCATAATTTTTTTTTTTTGAATGTAGTAACTCAATTAAGAGTTACTCTTAGAGTAAATATCATATAGTACTCTTGGAGTAAATATCATATAGTAGGGGACAAAGCATTCACAACAGGCATTAACATATGTTTTCGATGTGGTATAATATGTCCTTGTCGTTTTGTGTCAAGTAAGAGTGGAAAAACTACGAGAGTTGTCTTAGTAGGTGTAAAATGCACTATTTAGATTTTTGGTTAAGCATTTTAAACATGTCTCTCTTAGTGTATTGTCAATTCTTGTGGTGTAGGTGAACTTTTAAAAATTCACCACTTGAAAGACTTGGATAATTTGATACATATTGGAACCATTTCAAACAACTTGGAAAGGTTAAAGCACCTTTGAACTTGAGAGAAATACTTTTTGTGAGACTAACTTGTTTGCTCATTTTATAAGAACAATTTTAAGGAAGGAGATTAGCAACGAATTTAGTGAGGGAGTTTTCCCTTGGAAAGCAAATCCATCACCAAATTCATTTTTATTTGTTTGATTTGCATATTTGTATTTAATTTGTGCTTCATTGAATTTTATTTATCTTTCTTTGTTGTTTAAGCTCTTTTCCATTTTTGTGTTCTCTTAAACTTGTATTTGGCCTTTAGGATTGTCTTGGGAAGCCTTTGGTGTTCTCTCATCTCTCCTTGGTTGTATTACTTGTAATATCTTAAACGTTAATGCTTGTGGAAGTGTCCTAAGGATTTCCAAGCATCAGTTAGGATTTCACTAGGGACACGTCTAGTTTACAAGCTTTCATAGTTCGTTTAGTACTTGTAAAAGTGTTCTAAGGAGGTGTCACTTAGACTTTCACGTACCCTAGGAAAAATTGACTAGTATATGTTTTGATAATTACTTATGTTAACTAAATATATTGATAATTATTAGTTACAAACATTTAAAAATCTTTGAAACTATAAGTGGGAAAATAGTGAATAAATAATAAAACTTGTAACTTTTAATCATGTATACAATAAATATTATATTTGTACCTTGCACATGCTAGATTGATAGTTTATGACTAAAAGTTCAAATCAATAATAAATTATGATCAATTGATCGGATAAAGGTGTTGTACACAATTAGTCCATAGGCATTAATTTCATTCAAAATATGACCTTGCACATGCTAGATTGATAGTTTATGACTAAAAGTTCAAATCAATAATAAATTATGATCAATTGATCGGATAAAGGTGTTGTACACAATTAGTCCATAGGCATTAATTTCATTCAAAATATGCATTTTTTCTTTCCAAAAAAATACATGATTTAAAGTTTTTGATGAGATTAATTAAATTTTTTCGTTAGGGGTCAAAATTATTTTAATTGCAAATTTTAGTTTGTGCCTATTAATTGATGTTTGTTTTCTCGAAACATCACAAAGAAAACTTAACATTTACACTAAAATTTGAGATAGATTGAAATCGATCAACTAAGAGTTATGGCAAAGATTGAGATAAAATCTGTTAGAGTTTTCATTATTGTAATGATTATGTTGGGTATTGCACAAGCTGATTATACTCCTCCATTTATCTAAGTCAAGGGTGGAACCGATTCTAATACATACGTATGTAGGGTGAAATGTGGCTTTCATTGTGCAAGTTATGTAAATTTTCCTCTTGAATTTCACTAGTGCGTAAATGATTGTGTTACAAGATGTGGTAAACCGTCCACCAATGCTATCTATGTTTTAAGTTACTCGTGGTTGACCAACTCTGGTGACAACAACGTTGGTAATTATTATTTTTTGACATTCTCCCATTCTAAATGTTTCATAGTGGCTTATTTTCTATAACTGTATTGATTATGTTTTATCATTTGTTTTATGCTTATATTTTTTACTCCTTAGATGTTCGCGATCTTTCGATCAAGATGATGAGATTTTTTTCAACAATCTTAGTAGATTGATATGATTTAACTATCACAAGAACGATCAATGAAAAGTTATTACGTGAAATAAACATTGATTTAATTGGGAAAAGAGTGAATACATAATAAAACCTATTGTAGCTTTTAATTATATATACAATAAACATCATATATGTGCCCTACACATGCTAGAATGTTTGTTTATGGCTAAACATTCAAACCAACAATAAATTATGATCAATTGAGCGGGTAAAGGTGTTATATACAATTAGTCCATAGCCATTAATTTCGTACAAAATATGCATTTTTTTTTTCTTTCCAAAAGAACACATGAATCGAAGTTTTAGATGGAACTATTTTAAATTTTTCATATGGGGTCAGATTTATTTGAATTGCACATTTTATTTTGTGCTAATAAATTAATTTGTGTTTGTTGTCTCTAAAAATCACAAAGAGAATTTAACATCTACAAAAAAATTTAAGATAACTTGAAATCGATTAGCTAAGCGTTATGACAAAGATTGAAATAAAATCAGGTGCAGTTTTGATTATGGTCATAATTATGTTGGGTATTGCACAAGCTGAATATACTCCTCCATTTATCCAAGTCGAGGGAGCAACCAATTTTAATACACACGTATGTAGGGTGAAATATGGCTTTTGTTGTTCACGTTATGTAATTATTCCTCTAGAATTTCACAAGTGTGTGAATGATTGTGTTACAAGATATGGTAAACCGTCCACCAATGCTATCCATGTTTATGTTACTCGTTGTGGTTGACCAACTCTGGTGACAATATCATTAGTAATTATTCTTTTTAGAAATTTTCCCATTTTAAATGTTTCATAATTACTTATTCTATATAACTATACTGATTATATGTTATCATTTTTTTTATATCTTTTACTTTTTAGATGTTCGCGATCTTTCGATCAAAATGATGAGTTGTTTTTCAACAATGTTAGTAGACTGATATGATGTAACAATCACAAGAATGATCAATGAATAGTTACTACGTGAAATAAACATGGATTTAACAACTTGTTTCCTTTTTAATTTCCTATGCTTTTGTAAAATTCTATTACCATTTGTAGGTGATATCGAATTTTAAGACAAACTTATAATTATTATGAATTTATTTTAAAAATAAATCTTAGTAGAAAGGATTACAATAAAATAATGTTCTTTAGTCACATGTAAAAAGGGTCCAACAATCTCATCAATTCCGTATAAACTCTGAAATTGTTCACTTGGGAATAAAACAAAGAT